TTCACGACTCAAATGCACCAGAACTTCTCCTCACCTAATCTTGGCAGATCCGACTCCAGTGTTCTATATCCTCCCAGTAAGTATAGCTCCAGTGCTCTATGTCCTTTCTTTCCTTTAATTTAAGGATTTTTTTTTTTTCTTGAGACAGGGTCTCACTGTTACCTAGTCTAGAGTGCAGTGATGTCATCATAGCTCACTGCAACCTCAAATTCCTGGGCTCAAGTGATTCTGGCTAATTCTTTTTTTTTAGATGTTTTATAGAGATGGGGTCTTGCTATGTTGCTCAGGCTGAACTCAAACTTTTGTCCTCAAGCAATCCTTCCACCTCGACCACGCAAAGTGAGTTTAAGCCTGTTTTCTCTGCTATGACACCACCCACTTCTGTATCTCATTTTACAATTCTTTCAGTCATCCATTCCTGATCATAAATGGATTTTCAGATTTTTTTTCCCCAGAAAGTGATTTTGACAGTGATATGTGGGGCATAATCATAGATATTTTGATTGCTAATGAAAAGGGAAAGAAGATTATGTCATCAAGATGATAGCAGATGAAGAAGAGAACTCTTTATATCAAATTACTTTAAAATTTCTAGAGTGAAATCCTTATATGTATGTTGGGATTTGAGTTCCAGGTGTGAAAATTTACCAGGCCATACATTAGACTTGGAAATGAGCCCTGGGAACTCATAGCACTTCACATAGTTGATTATTCTATTAATTTGTCTTGCTCTGTTTAACTGCTAATCAAAGGCATTAGGAATAGACAACTACTAACGCCACCCCTATTCAGAGCAGGATTTCATAATACCTGATTTCAAGTATACCCTGTACTTGATACAATCCTGGGGTTGTTCCATTCCTGGAACTAGAGGGATAATGCTCACAAACAAAATGTCTACTACGTTTCCTAAGAAACAGACTGGTTTGAGAGGTCAGGAATGATGTGGTTTAGACAAAAAGATATGATTGGAGGATGTCATAAAAGCCAGGAAAATCTGGAAGATGACACTTTTACAGATGACCTAAAGATCCCCCAGCCAGCCAAGCTGGCTGATAACTGGTGTCGCCTTATCAACAGAGGAGGCCTTTCTGCAACTAATTCATAAAATCATTCATAGTGAACCAGGTGCTTTTAACCACAGGGAGTTGAGGATTTTTCAGTATAGACTAAACTTTTAGAAAGAACATTTCTCAATGTTAGTTTTGTTTTTTTTTTGAGACAGAGTCTGGCTCTGTTGCCTGGGCTAGAGTGCTGAGGCATCAGCCTTGCTCACAGCAACCTCAAATTCCTGGGCTCAAGTGATCCTCCTGCCTCAGCCTCCTGAATAGCTGGGACTACACTCCTGACTAATTTTTTCTGTTTTTAGTAGAGACAGGGTCTCACTCTTGCTGAGGCTTGTCTCTTATTCCTGACCTCAAGGGATCCTCCCACCTCTGCCTCCCAGAGTGCTAAGATTACAGGCATGAACCACCATGCCCAGCCTCAAGGTTAGTTTTATAAGGCAGTTGATTATTTTAGTTAACAGGTATTTAATGAACACCTACGCTAAATGGATCAGTAGCACAAACATGAAAGGAGATTTAGTTTTGAGTGCAAGGCCCACCCAAACGCAAGAGAGCAAAACTAGGAATTGGACTGAAAGGAATCCAACATATCCAACACGAAAGTATCTTTCTGAACAAAATTTCTGGAAAGAAATTTCCATTCTCAGCACTGAGGCCTGAAAATACTTGTTTTTCTAGACTTCTATAAGAACAGAGATAATCCGTGCTGCTTTCATTCACATGTTCCTTCTAATTCCATAAGAAAATGAGCCAGAATAATAGCACTGGAAACGTAAATTATAGGCTCTGTAAGAACAGTTTTTATAAAGATCATAGAAGATGAGAAAATAAAAAAATACTAGAACTGCATGGTTAATTTTCCTCATTATATGATTAAAGAAACTTAGAGAAAGTAAGGGACTATTTTGAAGTAACAGAGTGAAAAATTGGGTGAGATCCCAACTTTTTAACTCCAAGGCTAGTGTTTCTTCCTTTCCCTTCTCATCTTCACTTTTTTTCCTCTTGCCTCCCTGAGCTGCCCTTAGGAGATTTTAGTCTTTTGTACAGAATGACTGAAGAGGCCAGGATAAAGTATACAGGAAGTCATCATTTGGCTGCACATGGCAATCAGGCTTTTTATTCCCTCGATCGTAAATGTGGGCTGTTTTTTGATTGGATAGGGGCTAGTAGAAAGTTTCTATATGACTAAAAGTTCTCGACACCTCCTCATATATGTTTCCATAGAAGCCGTAATGTAGCTGTGGCTTGATCCTTTCCTCCCCCCACTCCTGCTGGCTGAGTCTGTCCCCGCACATAGTAAGGAACAGGGCAGTTCCTCTGAAGTGCTGGCACCGGGCCACCACGCAGATCACGTGTGGCGAGGTGAAAGGCACCCTTCTTCAGGGACTCTTGGGGTAAAGGCTTGGTGGGAGGGGATAGGTGCTCTGAGGGGCAGGCATAGGGAGCAAGGTCAAGGTAAGGAATTATGGATTAACCATTCCATCATTCATTAATTTTAATGAGTGCTTTTGGGTCTTATTTCTAAAAACTGGATGGAAAAACAGCTGGTACATGGATATATATATATATATAATCAGCAGATTCCTACATGCTTATCAGTTCTGCTCAGCTTTCTGTTCCCACATGAGTGTAGAATTGACAGTTGGGTTCTGCAAAAGGCAGACCTTCTCCCTCAAGGATTTTGGTCATTCTGGAATTAGATAGAGTTGTAACCTGCCAATCCAAGGCAAGGTTGGACAGATGGGAATATGAGGAGTGCTGCAAGAGACAAATCTTGAGGAGGCTCTGCTGTTGACGCCCTCCTTCAGGGAGCCCTTGCAGCAGCTGGTCTCTAACACCCCCAGTGGCCCCTGCGGTGACTTGTACCTCTGCACTCTCACCCTGGTCCCAGCGGTGAGGCCTGAAAATACTTGCTTTTTCTAGGCTTCCATTTTATAAGAACAAAGATAATCTGTGCTGCTTTCATTCACATGTTCCTTCTTATTTTATCCCTTGCCAGGACCCCCTGCAGCAGATCCCAGGTAATACTGGCAGTTGCCGGCTACCTCCGAATGTGGCTGCTTTTTGTTTGCTTTCTGGGTCAGATCCAGGCCAGCTTTATGGAGGACACTTTATGTTCTCCTGCTGGGCCATCGTGGAGTTCACGAAGTAGGAATACCTGGAGTCCTAACAAAGTTATGCAAAGAAAGAAAGAGCAGCATTGATATTCATTTGCCAGGTATTTATTTATAGCACTATGGCTATGTGTCGGGAATAGAAGCAGGCAATCCCTGCTGTGGAGAGGCCTGCAGTGAGCTGGGAATGCAGACGTGGAAACCGACAATCATGAAACCAGCGTGGGGGTAACAGACAGGTACGCAAGTGCTGTAATGGCAGCACAGAGAATAAAGTCATCTCCTGTAGGAGAAAGAATCATAAATGAGGTGAGAACTGAGTTGCCTATAAAGAATGATCCAGGGTTTACCAATCTGGGAAAGGGGTAAAAAGAATTCACAGAAAAGACACGCGTATGTAATATTACAGAAATGGATTTTCTGGTTAATCTACTACTCTAACTCAAATGAGAAAAGATATAAATTATGTTCCCCCCTAAAACCATTGCAATTTCCCTTTTACCTATTGGATTTGTTGTTTGTTTTGAGAGGTAAATAGATATATGGGGAGGAAAGGAGAAAGGGTGGGGGGAGGTAGAGAGAGAGAGAGAGAGGAAGAGAGAGAGAAACAAGAATAAAGGTAAATTTGCTAGACCATTTTTTTGTCATCACACAGAAAGAAAAATGGGAAAAAAATCTCCTTCTAACTCACTGATTCATTTGTTGAAACACCTAGTAACTTCCTATTGCTGAAATTGTGAAATTGAGCCTGGGATGGAACATTCTTAGCCACTGAGCCCATTGAATCAGAAGAACAGTGCTTTATGGCATTCAGGAGACTGCCTAGCTCAGGATCCACACTTTCTGTTTCCTCTAGGGTGCCAGCAACACACCTCAAAGTGGACCCCTCTGATCTGAACAACATATGAGCATGTTATCCTCCTGTGAGCTACGAGTGCATGAATCATGGGGAAGATGCTCACATAGGGCTAGACAACACTGACTCCATGGGGCCCCCAAGGGAGGCTGACTTCTTGGACCATCAAGTTTGGTAATGGGCCCTAATCCTTCAGCAATTGTCCACGAAAGAACTCTCCCGGGAGAATAGGCCCCTAGATGAAGCATTATCTATGGAAAGTGAACGAGTACCAAGGAAGGCCTGGACCTCTTCCTTGATCCTGGACTCTGAGTAACCCCCTAGGGAAGACTGCCCAACCAGGGCTGTCAGAGGTTGATTTGAAGGGAGCAGTAAAGAGACAACTGCAGGTGTGGGCACGCCCCCTCCTCCACCGCAGACCTGTTGGAGAAGGCTGTGCTTCCTGAGAAAGGCCTAATGAAAAGGATCAAGCTCACGCAGAGGCCCTGCTGTGCAGGAAGATTGCTTCCAAGAAGCGATTCATTTTTAGTATAACAACTGTGCATTTGGTCCCCACACAATTTATCTTCATGCAAAATCACATACCTGTGTGCCAGATGTGCACAGCTGTATGTGAGCAACTGCTGATCTATCTGTATCACATGCCAAGTGCCTGTTTCTTTAAATTAGGGTGGGTTGGGATTTGGGCCGTGTGAAAATTTCATTTTGAAACCAGAAACCAAGCAAGCCCTGGCTATACAGGGGTTTGCGCATAGCACGATGATGAACCAAGGTTGAGTTAGCCTTTTCCAGGACCCCCCAGAAACTCCCCCTTTGACGACCCCTGAAATTCAGCTGCATTCTGGGTCTGGAGGGGTTAGGCTATCTGGAGACTGGGTCCTGCCAAAGTGTGCGGCCCTTGTAAATACTTGCGGTGAAACTGCAAAACCTCTGCCCAGCCCTTAGGAGCTCTTGAAGCAAAACAGAACTTGACATTTTCAGTTTGTGTTTCAGTTTTTACCCTGTGGACTCAGGAGCAGCAAGACCGCAATGCACTAAATGAGGCCTGCTGCCCAGCAGCGGGGCACAGCAATCCACCGAAAAGTAGGCAGCCGAGGTGATGAGAGGCCCTGTCCTCTGGAAACCCACATCTCTGGGTGCACTGAGCAAATGACACCGGGGAGTTTTCCCTCTGGTCTTCCTGTTTCTCCATTCACAGCCAAAGACAGTCAATAGGAAAAGGAGATTCATTCATTATTTTGTCAGTCGATGACCTATTTACTGAGTGCCCACTAATGCTAGACATTGAGATAGGCATCAATAAGAGGTATAGGAGTAAAGTCCTTGACATGTAATAAGTGCTTTCTCTATGTTAGTTGCTGATGGGATTATTGTAGACATACCAGGTTTTCAATTTTTGAGGACCTACCAGATGCCAGGTACTATGCCTAAAGTCTCCTGCTAATTCTCACAACTTTACAAGGCAGGCACTATTATTCCCATTTTACTGACAGGAAAACCAAGGCTCAGAGAGCTTAGAGAATTTACGCAAAAAAAAATCTTCTACATAGTGGAGCTGGGATTAAAATTCAGCTGTGTCAAATTCCACCCTTGCCACCATGCCACACTTCCTTCTTCCTCTTGCAATTCTCAGAGCCCCAAGAGAAGGCTTCTCTGTTTCTGAGAGTATATTGCATTTGCTCCTCCTGGCCCCTGGGCCTTAGCCCTTTGGAACCCTGCAGAGCGACCTCCTGGTAGTCACCTCTCCCAGTTCCTTTCTGGTTCTCGCATGGGCAGGCACTGATAAATCAGCCCACAATACACAGGCTCAGTTTGAATTTCAACAAAATTCTCTAACAACAGTAACCAGATGCAATTCAAATCACACTGTGTCCACATAAGGAATCCATTCCAAGAAATGTCAGAGGATGCACTATGATTCTCAGTCAGATAAATGGCTTCCAACCTTCCCTGGACTCATTTTAGAGCCCAGGGAGGAAGAAATAATACCTCAATTAATTTTAGAGTTCATTCTTTGAATCCAGTCTTAGGAAAATTGCATATATAATTTAGTCTTATAATGATGATCCCTTAGATCGCAGATCACTCATGGGTAGTGGCTCCTTTTAGACACCTGCCAAACTCAATGCAATTTCCTCTTTTCAGTTTAAATAACTATTTCAGAATTTGCTTTCTTACAAGCTACTTAGAAGAACCAGGCTACCATCCTAAGAGTAAAACAGAGTTCTTCACGAATTACATCATTTATTTTTCAACAAAGATTAATTTAATTTGGTTTAGTTTAACAAGAGTGTATGATCACAGTTTTGATAACCAAATAGATGCCTTGACGTATGCTTCAGTCCTGGTTTAGCTCTCTTCCAGGGAGAAAAACAAAGACTCTCAGAAGTAATTGGTATATCACTCCTCCAAGGCAAAAAAAAAAAGGGGGGGTAGGCTTTCAATTTTCTTAAACATAAAACTTAAAATCCACATATAATAATAAACAAATGGTTTAAGGCATTTTATGTCATAAATGTGCTGCCATTATTTAGTTATGAATTTTCAGGTTCAGGAATTATGCTAAAACCCAAGGGTCATTATGGAATGTCTGTATATTTGATTTCCAAAGCTCCAGATAGGTTTTAATGTGTTCAATGTTATACCACTGTACTCCCCAAACTATTTCTATATCCTCAGAGACATGTTCTAATAGCAGGCCTGTGTGTCTTCTGCTTAGTGAAAAGTGTGAAAAATAGCTCCAAAAAGAATATATATATTATTATTTTTTTTTACTTTAACATATGTTCCCATGTAGCCAAGTGATTCAACCCAATACAGTTAACAACTTAGAAAGGGATTCATTGAATTTTCCAGGTTTCTTCATGGCCAGAGTTACTTTGTAAGGAGACACTAAATGTGGAATAATCAACATGTTAAAGTAATCTAGATGTTTATGATTTGATAACTCTTTGGTGCATTGTTTAACAACATGTTTTCAATTTACTTTCCTTCAAATAGCTCCAAATAACCCCGTGATTTTGGATGATTGATTATGGGAATGCTGCTTTTACTGTACATCCAAGGTAATTTTAAAATTACATCTTCTTTTCATTGTTAAGGGGTAAAATCATTTGCAGGTCTTGACATGATTTATCAGAGATAGGGGGACAAAGGGTCAACCCCGGCCTCGCTCTATTGGAACATTATTACGTGAGCCCAGAAGTAAAGCATGTGGCTTTGTGGAAGTTGGGTTCTAGTTCCAATATGTAAATAATCAGTTCTGTGGCCATAGAAAAACCATCCACCTCCTGAGTCTCACGTTCCTTCCATATAAAAATCAACAAAACAATTGGGATCTAAATCCTTCCCCTAGAGATTATGATTCATTATAATTGGAGCAGGCCTAGAAATATGTATTTTTCTACCAAGGACCTAAGGTTTATAATCAGACAAGTTGGAAAAGTGCTACATTAAATGACTTCTAAGTTCAGATCTAAAGTTCTAGAACTCTAGAACCAAGATTTCCTTTTCTCCAGATATTTTTCCTACAGTCTAACCATTTTATTTTGTAAAACTATTTATTTAGGCACCTTACTCAATGGCAACCATGACCAATGCCTGTTTCTTTGACATTGTGCTCATGCTTATATGTAAATAGCCTGTTTGATCCCCTCTATAAACTTTGTACCACCAGTGTGTTAATTATGGTTATTAGTTGTAGCTGCTACAATAGATAAACTCCTCAATCTCAGTAGTTTAGGATAATAAAGTTCTATTTCTCACACATGTAAAATCCTTCATTCTGTAACTATGCCATCTGGAACACATGTTCTTTATTTGAAGCTAAAGACAGGGTCCCTCTGGGTGTTGCCAACTGATTGGTTAAAATGTCACATGACCCTGATCTAACTGGAATGCTGGGAGATACAAAGGAGCACGTACATATCTGGTAAACAAAACTGTCCACAGTAGGAAATCGAGATTTTGCAGCTTAAGAAACTGAGGCTCAGGAAGGCCGATTAAGAGTAGGGCTGAGATCACACTTGATAAAAAGTGTTATAGAAAAACAATGTTAGGCATGAAGAATGTCACCTGGTATTTCATACAAAAAAGAAGCCATAGTTTCCTAGAATACAACTTATTTTTTTTTCCTGAGAGAGGAGGAATTTGTTTTCTAAATATATAACTAGAGAAATGATATCGTTGTCCTTGCTACTGTGACTTTGCATGCTGAAATCAGAAGATATCTTTTCCCTTCAAGCAGGCAGATGTTGCTACTGAGGGGCTGTAAGGTCTAAGGAGATTAACTTCCCCGTGTTCTACTTTGAATCTGACTCACTCACTACAATGAAATTGGAATCTGCAGATGTCAGAGAAGCATCCTTTTCTCCTCAACTTTTTCAAACGGCTCTCAGCACAGACTATTTCTTCAGACCTGAACCCTTGAAACTACAGCTTTGTCCATTAAAAGCACACCTGTTGCAAACAGATACTGTTTTCTTTCTTTCTACTATTTGACTCTGAGAGAACTCTCAATAATTCAATGGCAATTTTAAGAGTGTGGAGAGACTGCAATCTGTGGAAGTAAATAATTCAGGAAGATGGATCCTGAATCCATCCAGTGTAGGAACATCGAGTTTTCCATGAAAATCAACCAAAAAGACACTAGGTAGTGCCATTGTCAGTGTACATCTGACTTAATGAAACCTAGAGAAGGGAACAGTGATTTCTGCTAGTTTGGGAGGCCAGGAAGGGCATCAGAGAGAGAGGGGATGACAATTGACCTAGGTCTGCAAAGGATGAGGCATCATCCTCCAGATCTATGGAGTGGGATGGCTGTTGGAATGCATTCCAGGGGAGGGAAGGGCTTGAGCATGAACTCTTAGGTAGCAGAGTCTCAGCATTTGGGAGAATGCACTGGTCAGGGATGGCTAGAAATATGGGCTTGAGCCGTAATGTTCAAGACCCTAACTAGCTTATAGAGGAGTTTGGATTTTACCTTGTGTGCATTAGGAGGCATCTCAGGTTCTTCATCAGAGGATAAAATATGTGCTATGGAAAGATTGTTTGTGTTCCAGAGAGACGACATACTGTACTTGCACAGCGTCTCTGGATACATCTAAACAACTGTGTAGCACTGACAGACAGTTCATTGTGCCCTGGTATCTATTTTACTCTACTTCTGTGGAATAACTGGAATTTTAGCCAAGTATATGACTACTCAGAATAAGAATGACATTTCTCAGGTTTCCTTACAGTTGGTGCGGCCTTGTAACTAAGTTCCAGCCAATGGGACTTGAGCTTAAAGTCCCTGTGACTGCTTGTGGGTGGTTTCTTAAAAGATAGTAGGCACACGTGGAGCCATCTCGTCTTTTTGCTCCTTCTTAGAATACAGATGAGAAGGCTATGACTTGGACCGTTTTTTTGAAAATTTAAATGGAAAAGACCAGTTGAATTTTTCTTCATTCAAATTGTTCTCCAAAGGTTGTCAAAAATCAATTGGGCATATTTCAGGGATCTGTTTCTGGGTTCTCTATTCCGTTCCATTTATCTGTGTGTCTATGGCTTTTGCCAACACCATGTTGTATTAAGTACTGTGGCTATATAGTGAGGGTAGAGTGATTCCACTTGCTTTATTATTCTATTTTAAGATTCATGATCCGTCTTAAGAAATACATTAAGAATACACATACATGTACACACAAATACAGATGAGAAATATGTTTCATGAAAAATACATACTGATTGTTTCTGATGCATTCCAATTTTTTCTAACTAATTCTATTCTAGTCCATTCGATTTTTTCATTAAAAAGTACTGATCATGACCCACTAAAATGACTTTACAGCCCACTGATGGGTCTCTCAGCCTGTAGTTTAAGAATCAGTCCACTAGGAAAGGAGAGAAGTACATGTTTACCATAGATCCACTTTTCCCCATAGATGAAAACCACAGTAAAAGCATGAAGCCAGCTTCCCTGGAGGTGGAACAAGCAGTGACATGGCCTACACGTCACTTCAGTTTCTTTTCTGATTGGATGAAGAGCTGTAAGGAACATGCAACCCACTTTTGAGGATGTTCTCAACAGGAAAAAATCTCCAGTCTCCAAATGTGGGCTTTGTTTTCTTTGAAAATAGAAAAACCACTCAGGAAGAAATTTAAAAATTTTGTAAAATGATATTTGTTATCGTGCTAATCAGCAGGCCAATTCTTTTACATATGTTACATCTTTTATCCCAGTACTGTACTGCTTTAAGAGGTATGCGTTATAGTTTCAACTTTCTGTATGAGAAAAATACAGACTCATAGAAGTTAAGGGATTTGTTCAAATCTACACACCCAGTAGGGAGCACAGCTCAGACTCAAGTCTATGCTGGTCTCACGCCATAGACCCGACTCTCACCAGCAAAGCTGAACTGAGGCCCTCCATGTGGTCAAAAGTCAGAAGCCCGTAAAGGAAGGCAATGGATGCTTTTGGAAGGGCCATACGATTGTTCTGAAGGTGACGTCGTAAATGCCTCTCTAGAGCATGAAACTGAGTGTATCCTCCTGAGCCACAAGTGTCCTGGGCCCTGCAGAAAACTTCAGGGAGCAAAAAAACCACACCAGCCTGGGTCGGCCACAGCTGGCCTCCATGAGCAAGGAACACCTTTTATCAGGTTTCAGCCGCTGTTATTTCGGGCTTGTGTTACTCACAGTTGAATCTAATCCTAACTGATACAACCACTATCCTGCAAGAACGGTGGCAGAGAAATATATATCACATATCCATCACATAAATCCACTTTTATAAGGAAATGAAGTCAAATTATTACTCCCAATAAAAAGGTGTTTTGCAACATGACCCAGGAATTTAGAAGGACCGTTTGTGCACCGTTTCTCCTGTCTCACAGTCTTGTACACACAGCACTCCCAGCGTCTGGGGACCTTGTGGGAGCGCAGTTTCATGCTGTCAGGATAGGAAGGGCCAGGGAATGAGGAGCTGCAGAGGACGGACAAGGTTTGGCCAGCGGTGCACTTTCTCCAACTTTATAGTTCTAAGAAAGAGGCAGAACTCTCTTGTTTTCTCCTTCCTTTCCTACGTAAGTTTTCTAGGAGGAGGAAGAAAAAAGACAATGGAGGATAAGTAGAATAGAAGAAAAATGAAATATAAACAAACTACACTCTTCACTGAACAGAAAAGTTCAATTAAAAGAGAGAGGGAGAAGAAGAAAAATGCTAGGATGCTAATTTGAACCATAGCCCCATGTCTAATGCTTTTAGCCAAGGAAAGAAGAGAAAAGCTAAAAAGAAATCTGAGTCAGAAGGAAGATGTCATGGTGAGTTTCAATGAGATGAATTCCTTATTAATTCTAAAGAACACGATGCAACATGGATTTAATTATACAAGTCAACCCACCCACATTCCTCTGTTGCCTTTCACACACATGGGCTTCTGAGGATGATGAAAGGTGGGTGGGGAGAAAGGGAAAAGGAGGCAGAGCATGGGGTGGCTAAGGCCACAGAGAAGGCAGCTCTATCCCAGGCACAGCGGCTCTCAACTCGCCCTTTCTAAGCACAAAACTCGCATTGCCCAGGTCCGGTCTCTGCTACTGCATCTGACCACCTCTGTCCGGCTGATCCATTCACCTTGGCTTCCAGGACTCTTCCAATTTTGAGTGGAGAGAAGGAATATCACGAGAGGCATAGATAGGAGTTTTAAAAATCTCTCAACTGCTCTTAGAGTGTAGTTTCCCTATGGGAAGCACAATACAATCTCACCAAATTTTTCACTAAGAGCTAGACTCTATTTAAACTCCAAAGAGTTTAAATGTACTAGAAATTTGATACAACCTTCAGGTTTTCCTAAAGTCTGCCTGTGACTTTTAACCTGTGCTATCATCAATACTCCAATCTCTGTACAGGCGAAAACATCATCAGTTTCCCATAACCAAGACCCCGTTGTTTTTTCCTCTTTGCCTTCAGACAGTACCCCGGCTGTGAGAGGACCACTGACCACTCTATGTCTTTAGGCAACTAACTCTGCACAGTTCTAGACTTTTAGACAGAGGACATCCCGCCTGGAAGGGAAGCCATGGTAGAATAATAGGCCTTTGAAGTCACAGAGCATCAGAATGAGGCTCGGTTGCAGTTAACAAAACAGACAAACCAACCAACCCTACTCCAGCTGTCTGAAGTAAGAGGGATGTAATGTGGGGACTTGCATGCCTAGAGAAACATTGAAAGGCTTTAGGCTGGGCTCTGAATGACTCACAGAGCAGCACCCCTGAACTGTCCTATGGAGGTAGCCGCTTCACCTCCCAAACATCAGGAAAATGAAGAACTGGCAAATTACCACTGGAGCATAGTTTTGGAAACGCACAGTCCTAACCATAATCCAGCAATCAGGAACCTGCCTTTGTAGCTATTACACTAGAGCTACACCATGTGCCCATGACTTGCCTCTTGGTTCCTACAAAGCTAGTGCCCTGCCGATGCGGAGTCTGCTCAAACAAGGGGTGTGGTGGGGTGGAAGTGCATGACCCAGTGCCTCCGTGACCATGTTCACTTCATCTCCTTTCTCAATGTCCTGGGAGTGCATCTAAAACTTAAATCACACTTGGAAACTGAGTCTCAAGGGAATCTTTTAATCTTTTAATCTCCAGCCCTTCCTATACAAGAAAGAAGATTAGAGAGGTGGCCTTCAAAGACTTTTCAACTATGACCTATTTTTAAAATTAAACTTATTTTGAGATAATTGTAGATTCACATGCAAGTAAGTATGTAAGAAATAATACAGAGATCTGTGCACTCTTTACTCAGTTTCCCCCTATGGCAACATCTTGTAAAATCATAGTACAATATCACACCAGAATATTGACCATTGGCCCAATGTCCATTCACATTTCCTCAGTTTTACTTGTACTTGTGTGTGTGTGTGTGTGCTCATTTAGTTCTCTGTAATCTCATCACCTATGTAGATTTGTGTCTCTGTCACCACAGTTAAGATACACAAAGGAACCCTGTTGTGCTCAAAAGCCAAGGATGACTGACTGTAAAGGAAGGTAATAGGCCCTCTTGAGTGGTTCATAAGATGGTTTTGAAGGTGACTGCTACTGTAATTCTGGAAGAGTTTTTGCTTTGAAACTTTATTATGGTAATTATATAGCCTCCTTTAGTAGACTGTATTCTTACCAAAATTTTGGTATATTTAATTTTTAAGATAAAGCTAATATTTAGTTATTCCTCATGATTTTAATTCATTTCCGGACTAATGATTATTGGCCCTTGTTCTTGGGCAAGAGGGCTGTGATATCTCAGCCAGGGTCCCTGCTCCGAAGGGGCTCATAGTAGGAGGTGTTATTGTTACAGAAAACACTTTCTTTTTTTCCCCACCTCCATGCAGATGTCCAGTTTTGCTCATGTTGGCTCTCATCTGCTCCCTTCCTCCAGCCTGCCCAG